CATTAAGAGGAGGCTCGCTCCCAAGTTCCAGGAACGGCCATATTCTGTGATTAGAATTACACCATTTATAGAACATTTCCAGGTGTTTATTGTTTTTATGGTAACAGTGCAATGAACGTTAGACCATTTTTGTAGCTTTTCTTCCACGAGCTATTGTCAAAGAAACGTCAGTTGAGAGAAGTCGAATAATATATATAAACTACATATTCGACTTTAACTAAAGAAAAGTTAGTACTAAACTTTTAATGAACTTAAATCAGGATTTATATTCGAACGGAAATTAACATTCATTTAAACGTGGATGTCACTCCTTATCCGTTACTTCAGTATACAGCTCCACTAATCGATAGTGTTTTCATCTGTTAGAACCGGAACACCGTAGACTCGCAATGCTGTTTATATTGTAAACTCCCAAGGTTTTAAGTCACAATAATTGAATACCTGCTGTTTCAACGTGTTTGTCAGCTGTCCAAAACACAAAACTTCTTTTGTCAAACACTATATCCTCAGGAAAACGTGAGTGACACTTGAAACCAACCTGATACTTTACGGTAAGCCCATTATCTTGCCTCAAGTAAAAAGTAAAGCCAATGACAAAGCAACTGTTTGATCTGCGTACACTTGTAACAAAAAACAAAACTAAATAACACAGTTAATTACAAAACTACCAAATTCCCTTCCCTCCTTAAAGTGTGTGCTTATTAATAAGTGAAACTAATTAACGAATTTTTAATCCCTTTATAGCCTGAGTAAAATTTCTAATACATCTTATGAGAGTTTAATGCTTTGGTGCAAGTGGTTGAAACAGGTGACCTCTTCAGGCAGCCTTCGGCTCCCTTTTGAGGAAAAAACGGAAATATAGTAGCCTTTTTTTTTTAAAAGAAAGCCTCCTAGTGGCTTAGCGGTAAGCTTCATGGCTTATAATGCTAACATTCGGGATTAGATCCCTGCGATGGAACACAGCGCAGGTATCCTATTGTGTAGCTATGAGCTAAAAACAGTAAAAACCAAAGATATTTCAAACTAAACATAGTAATGTATATTTTACGATTGTATATATCTCTTAAACTAAAGAAACGCAGGATAAAAACTAATTTTTTCTTCTTTTTCCAATTTTTATCTAAACGACTTTAAAGGTAGCACAAGCTACACAGAGTCTAACTGCACTAGACGTCCTTAATTTTGAATTGATAGACTACAGCAAAGGCAAGTCAACAGCACCCACCGCCAACTCTTGGACTGCTCTAATCGAATAATAGGATTTCACCGTTACTCTTATAACGCACCAACAGCCCCAAAATTATATATTTTTTGCCCCTGAAAGACACGAACTAGGGACCGTAATATCCAAAGTTAGGCACACTAACCAATAGGCCATTCCCGACTCTATCATATGCTTGAATTATGAGTTGGAGAAATGAGTCATTCAGAAATTGTCCATAGCTGTGGAATATTAATATAATAAAAACAAAAACGATATGATTATCCAGTAATTAATCGTGTCCGAAAAACTTTAGTTTGCTTGTTTGCTTGTTTTCTTGTTAAGCACAAAGCTTAACAATGAGCTATTTGTGCTGTGTCCACCACAGGTATCAAAACCAGGCTTTTGGCGTTATAAGCTACCGGGGGTCATCCGAAAAACAAACAAATCACAGTCAGATAGCATTCTTCTATGACCTACTGCACCCATTTCGGGAGTAGTTACCTTTTTCTTTGATTACCATCAAACAAATAACATTTTCACTGAATAAATAAATCAAGAATAATCGCAAGTTGTAATATTATTATAGCTACGACAAGGGAAAAAAGTATTGATATGAAGTAAGATCAGTCACCCCCCACTATTGATTGTTTGAAACTAGGCCTCAAATGAATGGCCTATAATATATACACTGGTTTTACAAAATATTCTATTACTCATCACTTTGAAGCGAATTACAAGATTCAGAGCACTCCAACTTATTCATGACCTCTCAAAAGATATTAGAATTTTTATTTAAGCGGAAATTAATCGGACAACTAGAAGCCAGCCAATTACAAAAGGTTGTTGCGAGTTGGATCTCACAATGTTGTTAGAAGAATGTGGTACTGCTTGAAAACCAATGGTACGTTGTTCGAACACCTGGGCAAGGAAGACCGTCATTCACGCTTCTGACTTGTTACAACTTTAGGGTACAGAATTCGAGATTGAATCAGATGTTTGCAGCCGTAACTGGTTGTTGCGTTGGTTATAAACAATCACATAAAGGGTCTGTATGCCACATGCCCAAAGAGATGCTTTTAACTCATAGCAAGGCAAAAAATAGTTCGTAATATATTCAATGAACCAATAACACTTGTAGCAATAATCTTTTTTTCAGATGAAAGGAGATTTATTCTGCAACTATAATATTGTAAATTCCTATTACTACTCTTTAGTTGCTCTTGGCCTAGCGTTTAAGGCGCTCGACTCACAATCTGAGGGTCGCGTATTACAATCATCGTCACCGAATACGCTCGCCCTTTCAGCTGTGGGGGCGTTATAATGCGATGGTCAATCCCACTATTTGTCGGTAAAATTGTAGCACAAGACTTGGCTGTGGGTGATGTTGACTGGCTGCCTTCCATCTAGTCTATCACTGCTGAATTAGGGACGGCTAGTGCAGATAGCCCTCGTGTAGCTTTGCCCGAAATTCAAAACAAACAAACCAAACCTAATTGATCTTAGGCTACTAGTTAGCATGTCAGACTGTGGAGCTGATGTGTTTTGGTTCGCGTTCCGTTACCGCAAAAAATATAGAAAATATCGCAAATTTGGGGTTTGTATAATAATGACGGTCAAACTCCACTATTCGATCTGACAAGAATAGGTAGCCCAAAAGTTGGAGGCGTTGACTATCTGTCTTCCCTCCAGTCTATCACTTCAGAATTATGAACGACTAATGCAGATAGCGCTCATGTAGCTTTACGCGAAGTCCAATAGAAGAAGAAGAAAAACAAACAACTAAGCAGTATACTGAAGAAAAGCCAAGGTGTATCAGACACTCTTGTATAAGGTATAAAGTATATAAATTCCATTATGGTCTTACATGACCAATACATTTGTGTAACTAAAGTAATACATACGTTAATTCTTTGTAAATTAATAAAATCTCCTGGACAGTTTTTTTACGTAAATCAGAAATTATACACACGAAGGAAATAACTAGTAGTTGTCGTAGTTAGTTTTCCATCCACAGTTACATGCGCCACTGCTTGTTGGTGTATGACAAATGCGATACGTTACCCACCTCGTGGAGATAGATGTAACTGATCGATTAGCTTATAATTTGTATATACATTTACACTGAACGTATCGATTACATATATTACTGCGCAGTCTTAACGCAACAGAATCGAGGTTGCGAAATGCTTCTTTTTTACGTCGAAACGAATGAGTATCTATTTGTTTACGTTATATACCAATTCACCGTATTTTCAATGGTAAAAGTATTTCTAAGTAACTACCCTTGTTTATCATCTTATGGTTACAAGCTCGGGTAAAAGGAGTCCCATCGGTAAGCTCGAGGGCTTACAAAATACAGGATTCAATTCCTACAGTAAGCACAGTGCGGATAAACAAGTGTGCAGCTTTGCGCTCAAACGAAACAAGCTCGTCAACATTTACCTTTATCCAGTCTAAATCATCCAATATTTCGCAACAGCAGAAAAGTGTTACGAATTGTAAACTCCAGCTTATGAGTAACTACGTACTTCTTGAGGAATAAAAAGAGCAATATAATATTTTATAAAACATTTAAACGATGAATCATGAGATAATTTTTATTCTGTTCAAAACACGGATGTGATTTATCGCCATCTAGTGTTCGAACTTAAAACCAGCCATATTTGAACACATAAAAACGAGAGGGAACCCTCAGTGGCCGCGGCGCTTGAAATCCTTTTAGGCAGGATTAGAGTAAATTAATCTATGAGACCTTGGGCGTGGTCAAATACATCAATCAAAAGGGTTTGACCTCCTAAGTCTAAAACTGTAATTAGATCTAAAATCGGTTAAGAGATGTACTTGAACAACAACTTGGAGCCACTATACCACTGATACCCCCCCCCCCAAAAAAAAACCAACAACCGAATGTTTACGTTCTGACAAGAATAACTCCTTGGCTATCAAAAGCTATGCTCCTCAATACCTCAGCAGTGAGTTTGTAGGCTTACGATGCTAAAAATTGAGTTTATACCCATAGTGGGCACGGCACAGATAGCTCATTGTGTAACTGTGCTTAGTAACAAGCTAACAAATCTGTCTAATATTGTAACACGTAAAAGTTTGAACTATTGTGTGATTTTATTTAAAACTTTGTTCCTGATGATGCTAGGTAAACTTGAAGGAATGTGATCAATTTACTAGCATGATAACTTCACCATCAAAGCCAATATCAGCATGAAATTTAGCACACTTCTTGATATTACATAGTTTAAAATTTTTCAAATTCAAAAATCTTTACCAAGTGTCTTGTTATGAATCTAATTACCACTAACAAAGGCATTAATTAAAATTAATTGCCCATATCTCGTTAATGTTGCAGATAATTTGCAAGTTTTTAATTCAAGCTATGAGGATGTTCACAAAGAGCATGTGTATCAATGTTCACATTTTTATCATTCCTAAGTAAAGTTAGTGTTAAAACAGTTTATGTTATGTATTTCTTTATCCCTGCTGCATAACTTATACATATACCATATATGACTGTAAGTGTACTTTCAGAAATTGTGGCATCCTACTTTTGTTTTGTGCTCTACTTGAAGGTTATAAGAAATGTTTAACAGTGTTTCTTCAGCATGTAAATTTGCCCAGTTTTAAAGGTAAGTGCTACCTTAACTCGTGATACAGTTCCATTTGGTTCTCTATACAAAACACAGGTATACCAGTTATACTAAGAACTTATCATAAACCATGTAAAAAATTATTCTTCATTAGCTATACATGATCAGTTTGTACCAAAATTACAAAACGAAAATAATCTGATTGTAGTAACAACATTTTATTATTCCTTCATCCATCATACATAAAATATTTATCTTTCAGACAAATAGCATTATCTCTCAGCTCTGCTGTAGTTGAAGATGGTCATACATATAATAAGTTTTTAAAAATAATTCAGACTAAATACCTTTTCATTCAAACTACTATAAAAATGAAAAAAAATTCCATACTGTATTTCAAAAGAATTCCATAATATATTGTCAGATAATACAGCAATGGGAATGTACATTGAAAACTTTGCAGACTTTGCTGTGAACTTGTAGAGGTTTTTTTTTTAAATACAAAAACTTTGGAGAAAAACATGTAATATATATTTTTCTTTATCAGATGGCTTGTTTTAAAAGAGCAACGTGCTCATGCCCCCCATCTCACTCTGTTCTTTCACAAAGATTTCAAAGTATTGATAAATGATGGTGACAGCCAGTAAAATGCCTGTACCACTGCCGATGGCACCTGAAAACATAGTTATTAGATATTAATATACAAAGAAGCAATCTTTTTAATCATTTATTAAGAAACTACTTCAAATGTTCCATTTTATGCCCCATAAGCTGGTAAACTATTGGAAACCAACAGGTTTAAAAAATTGTTATAAAAATCAAGTTAACTACATATGGTTGTTTTTCAGATGCCTCTAATTCAGAGGTGTGTACAAATATTAAATTAAAAGAAATGTGAAAAAGTAAGAAAGATGCAGCTATGTTCATATGAAAATTATTAAGAAACTAGTATTAAACTACATTTTTTTTTATATACCATCTTATGCTTTTGGTGGTTACATAGAATTTTCAATGTTACAAAAGTTGCACATATATCCTGGATGAAATTATCAACACCACCATCTATAATTTGCTATTTTCTGTTCTTTACTTGCTAGCAAGTATTGCATTACATATACAGGATGAGTATAGAGAAAACCCCATATTAAAAATAATGATTTAAAACTACTTGTTCTAAAGGAATAAAATTTCACCACAGGAACATTAAAAATCAAATTTTATTCAGAAACGAACAATGCTTTTACTTTTCTCTCTCTCTCTCTTTCAACATGAGATTATTGATATGAATAAAAAGCATGTTAGTGCATGGGATAGCCTCATTTAAGGATGTGTGATATACCGATTAAAATTGACAGAAAGAGTTTTCAACAGCATTAGAAACACACTGTAATAAGTGTAAATTTTCTTGAATACAACTTGTGATTTTCACTATGCCTCTAGTGACATTTACTTCTCGTAGGACAAGTAGTTTTTATGACAATAATTTGTTATTAGGTTTTCTTTAAAATCATTCAGTAGAAGTCTTCAGAAAAAAATCAAGATGTTCAATTAACTTCATACTATCAAATGATAATTATTTCTTTTTATAAGCGATATCTCCAAGCTTTACTGCATATATTTCTTTTCAGTCATAAAAAATATTTTAAATAGATGTTAAGTACACTAAATTTCATGAAATTAATATAATTATTTTATAAAAATGCGTTTTACTTAACATAATAACTGAAATAAGATATCTTATACCTTCTTGTGGAGGTGTTACATTACAACCTTTCTCATAACAAACCAACTCTTACCAACAGTGTATCAACATATTCCTCAAGCTATGATTTTCAAAATTTTTGAATAACTGTTTATTGTATTTTAAACTCTCACCTAGGAAGTCTGCCAACACTGACAGAGCACCTATACATAGACCTCCAAAGGCTGCTGCTGTAGGGATGTATCGATTCAGTTCATGGATCATGGACTTCTCCCGATGACCTCGCATAACCATTTGTTGCTCCTTGAGTTGCTTAGCAACCTACAAGAAAATATTCACAAAAAATACAATACAATCAACTACAATTATAAACAAGTTAGTTAAAAATAATTTAAATAAGACAAAACTAAGTACTCCACAAAACTTGAACTAAAAACTGATAATTCAAATATTAGTTGACTAATAAAATTTATGTAAGGTGTGTTACAAATCTGCTATAAAAGTTTTCAAAAGCATACAAAGCCACAGGAGTGAAGTTTATATCACAACATATTTAACACGTACAGAAGTACATGGAGAAAATTTCTACAATATAAATTGTCTGCATTATCTATGAACATAGTACATTGTTAGGTATTTATTTATTATGCACACAGGATCAACTACTAACACAGTTTTTTTGGAATTGTTTAGGAACGGTTTTCCTAAAACACAATATCTCTGTTTATCAATATTATACAGGATTATGTGATGTGGCACATTCACATCATATTCAAATTAAAGTTGAAAATAACCACACAAAACAGGGATTAGTCCAAAATAAAATTTGGTCTAGAGTCTGAACACTAAATAATTTTAACATGATCTCTTACACAAAAATTAATTTACATGATATAACAAAAAAAGGCTATACAATTCATTTTTTCTCTTATACCTCATCAGCAACCCTTTAAACATAACAGTTTTACAGGATTTGAGTTTACCAGTTAACAATTTCAAACATGTTTTAAAACAGGTGGTAATCACAGATATTGAAGTATGTTTAGGTTCAGAAAATTGTTTTTACCCTCAAGTAGCCATATGAACTCTGTATAAATAATAATGGCTTCCAATCTGTTAAGTCTGCAACTAAATGTTTTTACCTCTGGTGTCTATACTTGGAAAGAAATGATGAATTAAATATTTCTTTAAAATCTTTTCAATACCTTTTTCTTCCCTATTTGCACTGGCTTTAACTAGTGTGAGGAACTTTAGTGCATTATTTGCACTGGCTTGAACTAGTGTGGGGAACTTTAGTGCATTACTTGCACTGGCTTGAACTAGTGTGGGGAAGTTTAGTGCATTATTTGCACTGGCTTGAACTAGTATGAGGAACTTTAGTGCATTATTTGCACTGGCTCGAACTAGTATGAGGAACTTTAGTGCATTATTTGCACTGGCTCGAACTAGTATGAGGAAC